ATTATTTCTTGTATATTTCATCAATAAATTATTGTATGTGCCTTGCCATACGTGCACGTTATATATCTCAGAGTATAGTTGATGAGGTCTTAGTCTGAAAATCCTAATATCACACTRGTCCTGGTATTCCTTTAAACTGTTGACTTTCGTTRATGTAGTCAATGAAGCCGACCACTAAATTCGTAGGAGCTTCTTGACTAAACAATAAGAAAGGATAAGATTTTATTACACATATATTAAAACATATAAAATTAATATTTATTAAGAAGGCAATATTATTTTCTTATTTGGAAAATTCGGAAAACCAGCAATTGGGAATTAACTCTAAAAATTATGTAAATTAAATATTTTCAAAAACCTAAGAGAATAATAAGAGATTACTCATAATATGTTCGTCTACCTTTATCAAATAACAAATGTACATAGTACTACAACTATTGTAGTATATTTGGTAGCACAAAGGTGTCGAAAGCGTTATTGGCGGAAAAAAAAATCCAACTAATTCTGAGATTGATCCAACAATGTCCAACAATAATAACATAATGGCTTAATATATATTTTATAATATTGTATCGTATTTATTTGCAATGTAGAAATGTATTTTTTTTTTTTTTTTAAGAAAAAAAGAATTTGTTATAATTCTTGTTCTAGGCTAGAGGGAGAAAAGCTGTTATTGATCCAGATACAGTGTATATGGTTTTGAGTGCATCTAAGAATGATTTATTTACATCTTTCGGAAAACTGAAATCATACTCTGATGAAATTTGGATATACTTGAGTGATTGCCTAGAAAATAAAATGACTCCAAATAATATCTATATAGCTCTGTATAAAGATAGACATGAATGGCAAACGAAACTTCGTAAATAAATAGGACTATATGAAGAGAAATCCCATAACTTTCCAGAATCCGATTCTTCTTTAAATTCAAATTCAGATCCTGAAATAAAAGATGAATCTGATGAACAAAATTTAAATGAAGGCAAAATGTTGCATTTGACTTTTKATATACCATATAGAGACTACTATAAAATGAATCCAGTTGAAGTTATGTATGGGAAAAAAAAAGCCAAAGAAAGTACTCGGTCTTAAAAAACAAGGAGTATGGACTGATATTATAAATGATGCATTACTAAAACACCATAAATTACCATGTTGTTTTATTTACAAGCGTTGTCGTGTAGCAAATAATCTGTCTTGGTCAAAATATTTTTTAACTTTTAATGCGAGATGCAATGAAAAAAAATGTTCTGCAACATTATTCGGGTGGTCTATGAAGGAACCAGAAATTGGAGGTTYACTTACGGTTGAAGTTGTWACTYGAGACACTCGGGACAGCAAGACAAAATTCTTATAGCCGATTATGTATAGATGCTGCAGGTAGTATAATCAAAAAGTTTCATCGTTCATCAATGAATTTATTATCAAGTCACATATTTTTATACGAGTGTGTTCTGAATAACAGTTACTGTCAAGTTCCAGTAACTCAAATGGTGAATAAAAAACAAGACACATTAAGTATTTACTTTTGGTTGGGACAGTGGATACGTGATGGAGCTTTAATACCTAATGAAGTAGTGTCTGGTTACTTTAAAGCAGCGATGCCGCATGCGGCCCTCCAACGATTTATATGTGGCCCGAACAGAACTCATTGAATTGATAAAAAAATATAAGTTTCAAAACTAATATTATTATAAATATAAAATATAACGATAGATAAGGATGATTATGTTTTTGGTATTTTTTCTATTTATAACGATTTTGATGTATTTTATCTTATCGCTAAACTGGCCGTAGCTCGAAGGTACGCATTATGATTATATRAACGGTTAGTCACGTTGTAGATGTGCAATAGCGTTGGTGTCGGGCACATTTATATATTAAATATTTCAATCGTCAAGAGGCGTGAAACATACATTTGTAATTTTATTTTTTTATATTTGTTGTGACATTATGGCAGGCGTATCTTCGAAAAAACGAAAAATAACTGAAGAAAATAGACTGTTTCAAGACAATTGGGAAGAACAATATTTTGTCGTACAAAATAAAAAGGGTTCAGCTACTTGTTTAACTGTCGAGAAACTGTTATACAAAAAAAATATAATATTTTTCGTCACTACACTACAAAAYATGAATCATTTAATAGTACTTATAGTCCCGGATCTTTGATGAGATAAGAAAAATTAACTTTTTTCAAGAAGTCATTACAGAGAAACTRGAGATCTATTACAAGGAAATACAGAATAAAGTGCTACATAATTTCCCAACCCTTATAAAAGTTAAACAAGATGATATTGTCATTTCTGAAACAAATAAGATAATAATTTTAAATCATTTAGCTGCCTTATCTAAAGAATTTAAAAGAAGATTTCAGGATTTAAGAGCTGTAAAAAATTGCTTTTTACTTATAGWAAATCCTTGGCACTTAGAAGTAACGAGTATAACACAATTAGCATTGACTGTATCTGAATATTCAAAAGTGTTTGATGAATTTATTGAATTAAAAAATGATACAAATTTCGAAGCTATTTTCAAAGAGAAGAGAGAACAAAAAGAATACATAGAGTTTTGGAATTTAGTGCCAGGAAAATACAAAACCCTACAAAAATGTGCCCACTTTTTGATGACAATGTTCACATCAACATATCTATGCGAAACTTCATATTCAAAAATGAAATATGCAAAGAATGTGTACAGAAATCGGCTTACTGATTCACATCTTGACGACTTGTTAAGAGTAGCATGCAGCAACTACAAACCAGATATGTCCAAAATAGTGAAAAAACTATCTCAATTTCAAAATKCACACTAATTAAATATAAATATTTTATGTTTTATATTTTATGTGAATTKTATTAAGTTTATTAAGAATAAATATTTAATTACATTTTTTTTATACTACATTTTCAAATGTTATACAATATACACAATATATACATTTATTTTTAGTTTTTTTTTTAAATTTCCGTTCTATTCATTTCAACTTGCGGCCCGCGTAATATTATTAAATATTTTATGTGGCCCAAATAAAAAAAAGGTTGAGTATGGCTGCTATAAAGCAATTCTGGGAGCAATGTCACGAGCTTTTTGTAACGGAATTTCCCTCCATGAGTATAATGAACGTTGTTATAAAATTTTAAATAATACTACTTCTAACATAGATTTACCTCAATGCTATATAAGAATCGATATTTCTCATATAATTAAAATGGTTTGCCGTTGGAAGTGTCTTTTGGACAAACATAAATATCGATTAAAAGAATTTTTTGTTCGCTGCGTTCGCTTATTGATTGAATCAGAAACAATCAAAGAATTTGAATTAATCTTAATCAATATTTTAAYTGTAGCAATGAGTGAAACTGAAKGTTTTTTTAAAACTAAAAATGGAATAGAAGAAAATCCTTCAGAAATATCTCGAAAAACTCTATTGAATAAAATAAAGGGAGAAGATTGCAACATAGTAAATRATTATATCCAGATAAATGATTTGAATGATGAAACAGGTAACTCTAATTTATTTGATGATGATATTAATATAAATTATATTAACTCATCAATGTATAATTTTTTACAAAAAATTTAAGATATTTGTGCGAAAAATGCATTAGTAACTGGAGATAGATTAAGTCCATATTATATTCCAGGAATTAAAAACAATATTTTGCGAATCGCCAAAGAATTTCCAATGTGGTCGAATGTAATGAAAACTTATTTTAAATCATCATATGAAAATGCTACTTCTGCACCTGTTGAAGGCGATTTCAGAGAATTAAAAAATAGAATATTAATGCATGAATCAAAACCGATGAAAGTTGATAAGTTTATTGTGACACATATAAACAGTATTCAAAATTGCTCGGAGTATTCAAAAGTTACAGCAAGATTCTACGAAAATCAATCAAGAAAAATCAGGTTTGTAAAAATTATTTTTATTCACAGTATAATTTATAATATCATAAAATAAATAACGTGTTACTTTTTTTTTGCATCAAAATCAACCTAATTATTGTAGAAACTTTTAATACATAAAATAGGATACTTATTACTTACTAAATAAATWAAGTAATATACATATTACGTATAATGTATACATATATATACGTTTTCAGACATATTTTCAAACGTCATACCAGCAACATCTCAATCATTTAGTTCAGAGAAATATCCAGCTTTTAGTAATGAATGTGATGACATACAGTCAAATTCATCATCAATATCATCATGTACAACAGTAGATGAAATTGAATCTTGGAGAGGTTTGAAGGACGAAAAATGTTACAAACCAGTTGATGAAAAATTAGGCAAAAGAAAAAGGCAAACAAAATACATGGACAAATGCCCTGAGATAGAAATAATTTTAAAAAAGCCAGGTATGAGATCTACTAAAAATGTATTAATATTTAATGGAAATATAACGACTCCTGTTCGACATGAAAAGTCAACATTTATTGTAAATAATACATGTGCTTTTGATTCAGTTGTGTTCGCCATCGGAATATCATATACTGATCATTTTAATTATAAAAATTATATAGATGAATCTAATAACGGATTCTTGAACTTTATTAAAGATTTATCATGCTATGGTTCTACAGCTAGAATATATAGGCAAAGAGCTATATTATTACAGGAAATATTCCCGATTGATACAAGCATTCAAAAATTAAAATTAATAAATGCCGAATGAAATGTTACTAAAATTATAAATTAACTTTTAAAAGATGAGCCAAGTAACGAGGAGGAACTAATTTGTACTTCTGAAAATTGCCCAAGAAATTCAATAACAAGAGCTTCCCCTATAATAATGTTTACCATGGATGAATATACAAAATTAAATAACGAAGGTATAAAATCACTTCAGGATATATTAAAGAGTTATATCAATCCRAAGCCAACAATATGTAGAATGGAATCTTGTGGTGGTGAAACAACATTAATTCGTACTTTCAAAAATCATTTATTCATAGACGTCGAATCATTTTCTCCTGGAGAAGTTTTTCAATGCTACCTTCAAGAACTTCCCGAAAAGTTGAATTTTGAAAAAAAAGAGTAAGTTTCATTGTAAAATATATAATAAAAAAGATATATTGAAATTTGTAATTTAAATTCCTAGTAAATACCTACCTACCTATTTTAAATTTATTCATTTCAGGTTCAAACTAACTGCTGCTATTGCTCATGTGCCAGGTCATTATCTAACTTACGTTTTGCGTTTATCTGGCTCCTGGGAACAACATAACGATTTGGAGAAAAAAGTAAAAAATGTGTCAGCCAAGAATACTTTAATCACGCACCATATCATAATGTATGTCAAATTGTCAAATATTGATTAAACTAAATTAAGTTTTATATATATGTCCTTCATACATCAAGCAAATGTTATCACTTAAGAGAAAAAAAGGTTGTATAAAGACAAATTCAAAAATATTCATTGAAATATATTTTTTTTTCAGKTTTTTGTTATCTCAGGTATTATTTTTTATTTTTTTATTTTACAAAATTAAATCTGCTTTTTTCTTAATTTTTTATATTCATCATTTCGTTCTCATAATTTATATAATAAGGACTTAATATAATATGCCAAATTACTAGATAAATTCAAAAAATAATAAATAGGTATTGATAAAACTAAATTAAATTGTATATAAATGTAAATTGGGTACATTGTAGGTAACTTCATACATTAAGAAAAATATATATTGTCAAGAAAAAAAAAATTGTTTAAAGACAAATTTAAAAATATTAAAATTATAAGCAAGTATATTAAAAGTAAAATATGCGCTAAAAAATCTTAAATATGCATAAATATGTGCTCTAAAACGTTGAAATATGCATGAAAAACAAAAAATATGCATAAATAAAAATTAGCAAAAAATGTATTTTTGAACATTTAATTAAAACGACATATTTAAAATTATGGAACACTACTAAAAATACTTTTCTTCATTTTTTCTGAGATAATGTCAATAGTAAATGGTCGTAATCGATATTTTTTTTTTTTTATCTTGGTATACGTATTTACAAGCTACCCATTAATTTATTTTGAAATTTTAAAAATGTAATATTATTTTCTTATATTACAATAGTACTTATATAATTCAAAAACTTCTAAAACACAAAAAAAAAAACATCGAAATATGCACTAAAAATTAAATATTCCATTAAATTGGCAAAATAAGCCCTTGAAATAGGAAAAAATGAATAAATATCTAAATATGCAAAAATATGCACTAAAACCGTTTCATATTTTAGATCGTTATGGTATAAAACAAATTTTATCTCACATAGCATATCATGCAATAACCCCAAAAAAATATGCAAATGCATATAAATCCGCGCTCTAGTTATTATAAATTTAATGCAAATACCAGAGAATATTACAAAATATATAAAATATCTTAAGAAGTTCCAAAAAATTTGTTAAAAAAAAGCTTAACGAATTAAAATTCACGGGTTGCGCAAGTGGCTTGCAATTTTTTTTTTTGAACTTGCAATTACTTGCTAATTATAAGGAATCGAAGGATACCACTTTCGACCTTGTGGGTGAAAAATGGTGGGCTTGCCCCCCAGACTTAAAAAATTCCCACAGGTCGTGGGGTGTACTTGCAAATTTTTTTTTGAACTTGCAATTACTTGCTAATTATAAGGAATCGATGGATACCCTTTTCGACCTTGTGGGTGAAAAATGATGGGCTACGTGAAGTTGGCCCACCTTTCTTTTTTTTTGTTCCGTGCTTGAAAATAATGACTTGCAAATTTTAAAACCTAACTTGCTAATTCTTGCTAATTATTTGCTAAATGTTGATATGAGTTTTATTGATTTTGGTTAAATTGGGTGGGCCATCTTCACAGCCATCGATACTGGAATGGTACAAATAACAGTCTGAAATCATTTTTTTTTAAATTAAGGATACAATAAAAAATATTTGTTAATAYTATATAATTATACAATATTCTTTCAATAAAATATTTTATTAATTCACTATCATTATATTATTTTTAGCAACAATAAGAACAACTGATAAGGAACCTTGTATTAAATTTTCAAGTTCTTTTGTTCATCCAAAATTTTTTTACAGACACTTCAAAAAAAATTCTCATAAAAATCG